ATGATGGTCAGTTTATCAGCATTGATTAACTTCCTCGGATCTCGTCCAAAATCGTGACGGTATGGTATGGATGCGTGCCGAATATTTCTGTAGGATAAGCTGAACAAACATAAAAAAGCGCTCAATATTTACCTAATCCCTTTCTGGAGTCTGACTTCAATGTCATCACCCCCAAACTGAATTTCTGTTCACCCACTGCTCCGCCACCCTATTATTAGGCGAAAAATAACGCGTCTTGGTCGCAGAAGAATCACGGTTAACACACGTCGTTCCAACGCATAACTTTATTCCAGTGGCAGCTTTATAACTAGAAAAATGTAAGAATTTGGGTATGGACTTGATTTCTCGGTACTATTCTACTATTACACCCCCAGAACTATTCTACTGATACACCCCCAAAAACTCAAAATTTTAATTTTCGATGAAACTTCGCTTATAGGGGTAATCCGATGCCCTGATAACGAATATGNCATATTCGTTATCAGGGCATCGGATTACCCCTATAGGCGAAGTTTCATTGAAAATAAAAATTTTGAGTTTTTGGGGGTGTAATAGTAGAATAGTACCGATTTCTCTCTTCATTGCTGCCATTGCCCGCTTCCCCTACCGAGTGGGATTGTTGGCTATCTTTTTTCGTACCCACGAAAAGTAACATTGAGCAGAGTAGCTTTTTTTACTGAATCTTAAAATTAAATTATTTGTAATCGACATTTTCTCCGTTATAGATGGTGTGAGTACGGCCATAGGTTATAAATGGGGTTTGGACCGTGTTATGTACTGGGTGAACCACATCGGGACACGATGGTGTGAGGTTTTATCAACACATCCAACACCTGTCCATCATTCGGCGCTATATTTGCAAAGGGGATTCCCTAGATAACTCCCCAGTTACTTTTAAAATTACTTTTTCTAAAAATTTGCGCTGATATTTAATATGTTACTTATATAAAGGCAGCTGAATAAGAAAAGAATGGCATGATTCCGCTCAGGTATGAGTGTATACATAAAAGTCCCTCAAAGATACGAAAAAAGTTGGAAAACTCGTCCAAATTTGTCCCCGACGCAAAATCAACGCGGAAATCGCTTGCGCTTGAAACGATAGGGCACTAACCCGTTCAGGCAATCCCAAATATTACCAATCATTGTCCCCTACTAACTAAGGCTCCCAAAGGACAATTCCTTGGCTATTCTGGGAATCCTGACGATGACGTCATTCCGTCGGCGACGGTCCTTTTCGGGGGGTGAACGCAGCGCGCATGCGGGCTGTCCATGCGGTGTCGTTTCGATCGATACGACGCCCCCCGCGGCCGCTCCCATCCCGTCGCGGTGTTGTTTCGCTGTAGGTGTGCGTGTGTGTGTATGTGTGTATTTGTGTCTGCCCTACATGCCTATGTAATCGTATAATGTCTCCCTCGTCATGCTTTCATCCTTTGCACTATACTTGTCGATATTATGCGAAAAAATGACGTCAAAGTTCTTTTTTGTGTAGTCCCTCCCACAAATCCACGTTTCTTTGCGTTCTTTCTCTTTTTTTCTTCTCTTCGTTTCTCCTGAAGATAGACCGCCCTCATTCGGTTCTTGCTTTTGCGATATGTTCCGCACCTCTAAATAATCAAAACAACCTAAGTAAACCCCTCAAATTGGGAAGTCCATGATGTTTCCTTTACAGCAGACCAGAAATCCAATTTTTTCAGTTGTTCAACTATGGGAGTGCAAGTTTGTTTCTCCTATATAGGATGTATGTACTTGTGACGTGCTCGTAAGTAACAATTTGAAATTGCAATGAAGCTTACAACCCATTTATTCCACTGAGTGACTTTGTTCAACTGAGGGGCATAACTTGTGCAGGCTTTCATTTCCCAGTTGTGTGAAAATTCATGCTCTCCCATCTAGTTTATATATATTTCAGACTTTTTTTGGCATCTCTCTTTCTATTGAATGGGCGAAATTCTCCGGTATGCAGCCGAGCTTATGGGATTTTTCCATCCTCGTATTTCAACGGAATATTCCTGGTTTCTGTGAAGTCGTTTTATGCACAAGGGGAATTTCTCTGCTTTTACTTTTTGTCACCAAAGCTTCTTGACTGCCTTTCATGTCGAGGATGACTTAGTTCGTCTTATGGCAGGGTCTGATTTCCCTTTGAAAGTTGGTTTTCAAATACAAGCTCAAAACAAGCAGAACTTTATTTTGTCTATAAATTTTTGATTGGAGGAGAAATGAGTTGATATACAAGGGTCGATTTATCCTGAAAATTTGACTGGTGCTTTTAAAACGTCGAAGATTGGCGGGTTGGGGAGGGGGGTAGAGGTATTGTTATACCTTTGGAGTTCCTTTCCCTTTTGTTGATTTTGGACATCAGCTGAGGTTGCTTACATCGTTTTTAAATTCCTCATATTCTTCCTAAACCCATCATCCAGGCATAGCACGGACGTTATAAGGCTTTTCAACAGTCTCAAGAGCTCTACCACTACAATGGTAGATTCTACAACATTTTTACCTAATTCTCTACAAAGTTGTGCTCATATAAGTATTTTGTTTGGATGTACTAGGATCTTCTGATCAAATTGTGACTCTTTATTGCTTTTCCTTTCATATTGCTTGGTACTTTGTACCAAAATTTCTGATCCCTTTCTTTAACATAAATTTTCATATATTAGTTCACCTTGGTTCCTGATAGGCGAAAACGCCTATTAGGAAGATTGTAAGGAACTGGCAGAGCAAATTTGTTGAAGTTCTTTGCGGGTTCAAAAATGGTGACGTGGGCTAAAAGTGAATGAAATAGTAACGTAGGCTAAGGACCTTGTGCACAAAAATCGATTTCTCCGACGTCTGGGTTTTTTGGTGTCGGTTTCGAGAGACTTTTTTAGGAGTAGGCCTTTACTTGAGAAATAAAGCAATTTTCCTATTCGCTACTTCCTTATTGGCCTTGTTTTGATTTGGAGTAGTGTGAGTGATAAACATTCCAATGTGGAGGCAGTGGTCAAAATAACGAAAGGAATGTGGCACTTGCGAATGACTACGATGGGAGTCTGGACTTCTACCTGAAACTAACTTCATGAATTTTTCCGTTTTAAGTTCGTCAATCGGCTGGCGTACAGAATCGTGATTCTACTTTAAATTTGCAATTATGGCCTATCATTTCAATTATTTCAGGGGCGTTTATTGGGTATTCGGTTAATAAGAACATATTCAGTGCTAGATATCGAATATGTCTGGAGAAGGAGAAATTAATCTTGATAACCTTATTACAAGGTTGCTAGAAGGTGAGTGATTTCAGTCTTTTTTTTTGTGCTGCTGAAAACAGTACTAAGAGACTCTACTTCTGTAATCGGTTGTGGTTCGTAGAAGTCCTACGTTTTGAGCAGCTTTGCCATTTTGTTTCCTCTGCAGTTTTGTTGCAAGTGTTGTTGAAATTTTTGATCGGCAAAAGTATCACCAGAGCTTTTTCTATCATACTCTATTTCGTTTTGAACATTTTCCGTTATCCACCGGAACAGTCCCGCCAAGTTTAATTGTTCCTGTGAGTTGATTCTGCTTGTTGGAGTGGGCTGGTTGGCAGTGGGTTTCGATGCGACCCCAACAGTCATTCGTTTTCTGAAAAAAAAAATCTCGAGGGAATCGATTAAAATGTCAGGCGATCTATTATTTCGTATTGACCCTTCTTCCTTCAACGTTGGCACTTCTATAAATTATAGCTTGAATCGACCGTGAGCTTTGAGTTGTGCCTATTATGAAATGGTTATTGAAAAACTAAGTTATCCATAGCCACATTGCTGAGGATTGTTGAAAAACGAGGGGAGCTTTCATTCTCTAAGCAATGATCTGCTTCGCCATTGTTAACTTCCATTAATTCTAACCCCTCACGTTTTCTGCAGTAATTTTGCACATTCCACTATCACAATAGTGCAGTAAACCTACTTTTCATTGTATGTAGTATTCTTTCCGACTTTTTAACAAAGAGTTATCGCAAACAGGGAGAACCAGACAATCATAAGGCCGCTCTGTGTTTTTGTTTTCTTCGATTTTACCGTTTTCAATTCAATTTTCTTGAGTATTCTTCTTCACATTTCTGCTGATTACTTCTGAGTGTGGGAATGCTTTAGCTAAAATTCCCTCGTGTTCGCATTAAGATCACATGCAGCAGTGAGCTCGAAGCAATCCTTGATGTTTTTGCAACTGGGGAGCCCAAAATCGAAAGCATTTCCCCATTGTGGTTTTTTTTTTTTGAAGAAAATAAGTCTACCACAGAAAATCGGAAGTCCTATTATAAACATGTTATTTTATAGTTTTCCAGCGTGGGCACTTAAACTTTGAGTTTTTTTTNNTTTTTTTTCAGAGAACACGATTAAAACTAATGTTCGCTGTTTACCTACCACAGCGCAATATCTCCTTTTTTTGAATTTAGACTCGGGTTTTGATAAAGGGGGTTGCCGTAGTTACAATTGAACCAACGAGTAATCCTCGTGAAATTAATGAGATACTTTTTTTCTATGATGCTTCGGAAAAGTTCCTTTTTGGTGTTGTTATCAACTCAGTTCACAACAACTATTCTGTCCCGTGACTGTAAAATTGCAAAAAATTTCTGTAAGATTCATGTCTGAATATGTCAAGAGGCGTCCTGCCCACATACGTAGTCGTTCATTTTTGCAGGCGGCACTACCTTACAGCTTACTTATTCGCTCTCGCTTTGAGTATAAAGTGAAGCATGTGCAGAGCAAAAGTGCTGATTGTCGGCAAATCTACCAGAAGCTCACTTTTGTTTCGTTCTACTTCTAGTCAAAAAATGACACGTACCTATCGCACAGTACTCCCAGACATTACACCTCACTCTACAACGTCATCGTTGTTTTCATATCTATTCCCCAAATAGTATTGCTGGAGAATTTCGGTGTTGATTTCCGTTCTTATACAGCTTACTTATGAGGTGACAACTGCCATGTCGTTGATTTGCCCACAATCACACCAACTGCTCACGTTGTGGCTAAGAAAAACGGCTGTTTATGGTCTCGAGAGTTCTTGATTGGCAGCAATGGTTTCGAAATTATCTGTGGTCATGTAGTGACGACGTCTTCAAATGTATTGTACATCATCTATTATACAAGGTTTCAGTTCGAGGATGTCGTCCAGGAAAAACTGTAACCATGACGGAAGCGGAAATTCGTGCGTTGTGCCATAAATCTCGCGAGATTTTTCTATCGCAACCAATTCTTTTGGAACTGGAAGCGCCGCTGAAGATTTGTGGTGGGTACTTTTCTGTTCTCTTGCAATTTGATTGATTACTGTGAAAATTCATGTGGTTTCTGTAATTGGAAGGCTGAGCAAACTTCGAGCGCCTTCAGTCTTACAGGGATGCAGAAGCTCTTCTTTAGTTTGATCCATGGAGTCAGGTTTTACTTGTAAGCTATGGTAGTCGAGGCATCATCGGAATCCCTGCACATTTTTTTTGGGTTGAGTAGAGATTGAAAGAGATGCTGATCGTGCCTTATCTATGCTGTCTACGAGCGTTGCTTTTAAATCGTAATATTCGATAGCTGCCTATTTTCCCATTTGAACCCTCAGGCATTTTTTGGAAGAAGATTCATTCAATTTCAACCATATTTGTAACTATTTACGAAAATTTTAGGGCCATGTTAGCCTTTTCGGTCTCTTTCTGTGTTGTTTTTGGAAGACTTTTGCTAAATCTTTCTTTCACCTAGGAAAGATCGATTTAAGTGTTTCCCCCTTCATATCTTTTCTAAAAGATTACTGCAAAACCCTACTATGTAGCGTAATTACCCTCATCTCTAAAACATATTTTAATTTGTTTTGAATAGCATGTAGGTCCTTTTTGCTCAAACCTATAAGGCGAACTGTGGCCACTTTACTCCCTAGTCTACCGAAAGCGCCTAGTTTGGATTCAAGAAAAGTTGCAGACAGAAACCCGTCTCTCACAAGTTAGAGGCTGGAGCATGATTCACGGTTTTTGATGTAACGAACTAGGCTCCTTAGTGCAACCTCTTCATGACGTACTCAATCCGTTGCGCGAAAAGGAAATTGAATTTTGCGCCCACTTGAAACTTTTGAGTGGCTCTGGTGAGATTTGCAATCACTAATCCCTGCGTGGCCCTGGCCCCCTTACTTTCTCCCTCAGTCGGGGATCTACCAATGCTAATATTGGCTAAATTCCGGTTTCTATAGAAAGAAGTATCGCTCAGAAATCAACGATCACTTTGCATGAGTAGGATGCTTTATAAAAGGCCAGTAAAGGTCTGCTGGTGATAACTTAAAATGTAAATAAGAAACGACAACCTTCCAAGATACAGCAGGCAAATGGCACGTAAGGAGGAGATGGTTTTTATTGATGTTGCTTTAGTTTTTTGTTCTTATCAAGTGGGAATCACTGGTATAGCTCAGCAAGAATTATGGAACCACATGTTGGTTCATGTGGGCGAGGAAAAATAACTCGCTACTCCAAGTGATGAAAGCCACTGAACCGTTCTGATTTCTTTATTGATTTTCATTTTATTAGAAGAAGGATTCGGAGGCGTTTACAAGATTGCGATTTCAGTTTCAGAAACGACAGCAAAAGACAGTCATTCCCAGACCAATAAGAAAGTTCTTAGGCTTGTTACCTGAGTACGATTCACTCCTGTCACCTGAAGAAGGTGTTGCATTGAGTCCAGAAGAGAAATTGGTTTCCACTCCACCCGGCCATATAAGCTATGCCTAGTATGTAAATGATTTTCGCGGAAGGAAGTCAAAATATAAGCGAAAAANAAAAATCCAGGCGAAAATTCGTTTATTCTAAGTAAGCCGATTTTCGAAATTGCTGAGTTTTTGCCAAAAAAAACTTCTGGCCAGACAACCTTTCACGCTTCATTGTAGGAATTACTGCAGTTGAGTGAGGTTTTCGGGTTTGTTTGTCTCTGAATCCTTTGGAGAAGTCCGGGGATTAGTTTGTATCAAAAATTTCACGCCATTTGCATGAGAATTGAACAATCGGCTTTTCTCGTTTTTTTTTTCTCCCGGACCTCTCAGATTTATGCAATATTTTTTGAGAATGGATGAAGATGAGCAGAACCCTAATTCGCAATTCAGGTGATATTCATGGCCAGTACAACGACTTGCTTCGTCTCTTCGAATACGGTGGTTTTCCTCCCGAAGCCAATTATCTGTTTCTCGGAGACTACGTAGATAGAGGCAAACAGAGTCTTGAAGTTAGTGGAAATTACTTTACCCTCTAGGATTTACTTAATGATGCAAAACTTTCGAGGCTATTCTGACTAATTGCAGACAATTTGTCTACTGCTTGCATACAAGGTGAAATATCCAGAAAACTTCTTCTTACTCAGAGGGAATCACGAATGCGCCTCCATTAACAGGATTTACGGTTTTTATGACGAATGTGAGTTTTTTCGATTTATACCATTCAATTTTCATGCTTTCTTAAAACGTTTTCTCTTTTTTTTATGGACGGTTTGCCATTTTGTATATCTCAAAAAAGAGGTGGAATAGCCCTTTCTTTTTGTCTGTGTCTATCTTAAACTTACCTTAGTCTTAACGTGTACAATTCCACTTTCAAAGCTATCAACCTTTCGTTTATGGTAATTATCTATTTTACCAGCAAATATAATCTGTCTCATAGGTTTGTTGTCATAGGCAGGATTTGATTTTCTGCTGGGGTAACCATGCTGCTGTTTTTTTATTTTTATTCATTGCACCTACTTCTTGAATTGAGACAAACTCCAACTCGATTTAAATACATAGAACATTTCAAATCTGGCACAGTATTTGATGCGGAAGTGGTCTTTGAGAACGTGGCAGAGCAACGGAGCACTGCTACCTTCTTGAACGCTGATGTCCACATGAAATCGTCATTTGCCGCCATTTTAAGTTTTCTCATCTTACAATCAGGGTCATAAATTGGAACAAAGTAGCTGTCGGTTGTTTACCAATTGTTGACCCTACGCAGTGAGACGGAGGTGCTTTCTCTTTTCGATTCACAAGTAATACGCGCAAAAGCTTGCTGAAAATAACAAATCTGCTTTGTTCTTTGTAAAGGATACAATTTAGCGGCAGCTCTTTATTTTGTTCTTACCCTCTGCGACGGACACGTTTCAGAATTATTGTCATTTACAGATTTCAAAACTGTGCTTGCAAGGTTCTTGTGCATTTTACTTCTTGAACTTATAATTGATTGACAGACGCAGTATTATTGATGCTTATCAATATCCCAAAGGAGCATAAGCGAAACTCACGAGTCCGCTATTTTCTGAACTTGGTAACTCCTAAAATATGCAGAGCTGAAATGTATTCATGCTCGAAATAGTTGAAGCGGTGCGTTGCGTGACGCGCTGTGTGCGTCACTTTGATTCATCATCGTTTTGCTACATGCTTGCAGCGCATGCTGCATCACGACTAAGCTTGGTTTATTGAGAGTCATCTCAAAGACGCTAAATGATAGTATATGGGACCACCAAAGCTGCAAATAAGAACTAACTGTTCAATCCCAGGCCAAACTTTCCTCGTGAATCCTTGCAATACATTTCTGAAGACGTTCAGTAGGGCGGAGATGGAGGTGAATCGGATGCAAAGTCGAAAGGTAGAATTCTAATTGAAAAGAGAAATTGCTGATGACGATGGAGTCCATCTGTTTTGGTCAGGACTGTGTGTGTGGCAGTCCAAAACTTGATATCCCGTTAGTTTCGAATTCTAGACAAACCAGAGTTTTTTTTTATGGCAGCTTCAAGCGTGGGGTCAAGGTGCCTTTTTCTGTCATTACTATATGGCGGACGGGGTGAAATGACAAATGACGCACTGTCACATACGGTCTGAAAATCGAATCAGCCTAAGAAAATCGGGCCTTTCATCCTTTCGGGGGCTCGTAATTGGCACTGGAAAGATAAAAGCACTGAGTGGGGGCTAGCCTTCACAATTCTTCGTTTAGGCCTTACACACCTTCGAAATGCTACTATGATTCAGAATAAAGTCGAATATGGAAGTTCATCTCAAAAATAGGATTGGATAGAAAGAAGAGAAAGAAAGTCGCCAAAAGGATATCCTTTCTATCCACTTCTTATCCGGTACAATTCAGTGGCTAGCAATTTGTTGACTATAGATACTGTAGACACTAGCATGGTTACACAATCCTATATCTTATCGCCCAAATAGAAGCTTTGTTGTTTGCAGTGTATGTGTAACATACAAAAACTCAAATTTAAGAGACGTGATCATAGGCTCCGTAAATTCGAAGCAGTTTGATTTAGATCAGTTGGGTGAAGTAGTTGGTTTTTTTCGCTATTTTGGTTCAGTTAAAAATTCCAATTCAGAAGTCGGTCTAGTCATCCAATTCTACACACGATTTCCCCTCTTATCTAGATGGCTTCACAATGAAAAGAAAAGTTCATATGAGGTGGACATAAACGCATCACGTCACAGCAGAAAAAACCTAGTGGGGCTAAGTACTATATGAGATACGCATTTTGCGCAGATCACTTGAGCAGAATTGAAGAGGTTATTTAATTCGATGCTTAAGAAATTTTTGTGCTTTTGCTCGTTCCAAAGTTGGGTAAAATTTTGAAGAACTCCTATGTTTACCATACAGTAATTAGCTGCACTATAAACTTTGGCAGTTGCTGTTGTTATGTTGTTTTACGCCCAATTCTTATTTAACCACATTTCACTCACGTTGCCCTCAAAATTACGATGGTCCTATTTTTCTTCAAACAAAAAGGTTTGTCCTCCTCTCCTCCAGAACTGCAGTGAAGCCTTGCAGTTTTTCTTAGGAGCGGCTGATTATGAAAATTATCTGAATACTTTTTTCTAGAAAAGAGAAATTGTTTATTAATTTAGTTTTCGAGTTTCGTTTTTGTATCAATGGGATGACTTGTTTTGTTTTAGGTAAACGTCGGTTTTCTATCAAGCTTTGGAAGACGTTTACTGATTGCTTCAATTGCCTTCCTATTGCGGCTCTTATTGATGAAAAGATTTTCTGTTGTCATGGTGGTCTTTCTCCTGATCTACAAAATATGGAACAGATACGGCGCGTAATGCGACCAACTGATGTTCCCGATACAGGTTGGTGTAGAAATAGCTTCGAAAGTGTTGATTTTGACTCTAATGCTGTTTTTCTCATGGCTATTGATTTAATTGGAATGGAAGCCCTTGATTAGTGTTTTCCCGATCGATAACGCAGGAACCCACATTAATAATGCGGTACCTCCTGCCATTTTTACTGTTCGAGTGCTGCTGCTGCTGCACGGGGTGGCAATCGCATGGCCTTATGCTACGCTCTTAGTACTACGTAGTACTGGAGCTTTGCGTTCAGTGTAGCTGCAGAACAGTACTGGTCGTGACTCATATATGTAAGAACGAGTCCTTGGTCATTTCATAGTTGTGGCATTCCCGTACTAGGTGGTGAGATGACACATTCTATACGTCTGCAAATACAGATTTCTTTGTCACCAAGTTGGTATTCGAAGATTTGATTGAGGGGGAGATGAACGCTTTTTAATATGTTTGACGTTAAATATCAAAGTTTGTGACGTTCAGTGGTGTAATGGTTATAAAACTTCATCACCGTTTTTTAGTGGTTGTGTTGTGCACGTTATAGAAATTTTTTTCTCTAGCAGAACCCCTCGCTAATTGTAAATATATCTGGGTCTTTCTGAAGTTTGATGAGGGCTCTGTTAAAAATTTTCGAGCTCTTTGTCCTTGTAAAATCTCACCCAGTGTGCTACTTTTTTAGGTTACACTGAATGTCATGTCTTACGCATATCCTGCTTTCACTAATTCTACTTTTACTACCAGTAAATGTTTTAGGTCTTCTATGTGATTTACTTTGGTCTGATCCTGACAAGGATGTTACCGGGTGGGGCGAGAATGATCGTGGAGTATCATTCACATTCGGCCCAGACGTTGTCGCCAAGTTCCTCACTCGACATGATCTCGATTTGATATGTAGAGCTCATCAGGTGGGTAAGAGGCGTTTTTTGATCATTTCTCTTTCATGACATGAATTTTTTTGCAAATTTCATATCGGATATTGAGAACTGCAATGAAACTCAACAATTAGCATATTACATACATCGTTTTGTGCCTGCAGAATGAAAAAGCATGCAATTATTCGCATACTTCTCATTCATTCGGAGCTTGCTAGAATTGCAAAGTGGCAAATGAAAGCAGTTTCTTAGAATTGGGGAGGGAGTCAAGTGCAATATATAGTTTATAAGTTTGTCAGAAATTTTGATTTCATTTACGGTTTTTTAAAAGACCTTTTTTGTTATAAATCTGGTGTGTACTTGACTGCATATCAAATCGCGCACGTCATTTGAAACTGACAGTTTTGATCAACAGCCTTCAACGTTGTGATGACATAACTTACTCGATTCGTAACTTTTTTTCGATTCCCTGCGTGATAACTAAAAACTCGACTGAGGGCGTGGAGCTGTTGAGTCAACGTCCATTTCTTACGATAGCATGAACTACTGAAGATTTTTTTTTTTAAATTACGGGGGCGTTCTGAAAAGTGATTGCGGGCCTTTCGTTCAAGCATCGTCTGCCAAGGTGCCCACTCTACCCATTGTGAGCACTTCCTAAAGGCTTTGCTCAACCTCATCCTACTTGCTTATTACTTCCGAAAATAGTCTGAATCTAGTGACGAACTTTTTAATCAGTCCAGCCTTCCTTGTAACCTTGCCCCATTGGTCAATAATTACCATCCCTTCTGTCGGTTCTCTTTTCAAAATGAGTTTTGTAATTTTCTTTACCATTCGGTGCACAACCTACTTCTAATAGACAACCTTCCACTACTCAACAGTCAATCCCATTGCTCACGGTGATTTTGCGACCGATCCTGTTGTGACTAAAATCGCATTTCGAACCTTAATCGGGGTGTAGAATTACCCTCTGTCACCGTTGGTCGGGCTTCACTTTCTTCAAGTGCTAATCATAGTTCACGGCCTGGACACTTACGTGCCGATTAGACTTATCGTTAGTTCTTCCGGTAGCTTCGAATTCACATACAACGCTTTATGTAAATTTAGGATGACTATACGATAGCGCCTTGATTCAATCAATGTCGTGCATTTGCAAGTAGATTACTGTAGGAATCGCTGAGTTTGTAGGGATACAGCTAGCACAAAACACTTGACTTTCGCAATGAATATTCAAGAGTACTTACAAAGTGTCCACTACTGCATTTCACGTCCACTGGTCGGCGATCTAATTGTCCGCCGGATGATCCTGGACCTTTACAGGTTCTCATCAGAAGTCGCCTCTATTCCTTTACCAGTCGTCGTTCGCATTGGTCTTGGTTTGAGTGAAGTCGGTCGTGACGATGCTCCTTAAACGTTTCTTTAGGGCTTTAGTTTCCTCCTGTCATATTCGCTCGCTCCAATCAATGGGTCTTTAGATAGTCCTCACTTTAGCAATGGATGCAGCTTTTCATGTTTTCTGCCCAGCGCTCAGCTTTCACTGCTGAGATGTGGGTATGCTGTGATTCTATTGCGAGATAACTACACCATACTTTGCAAAATTTACAGCTGCTGCCGTGAGCATGCAACGATACGACCGTCATAAGAATTCGAGACTAGAATAGAGTTTAGTTTTGAGAGTCAGAGAACTTGCTCNTTTTTTTCAATGCATACCGCAACCGAAATTGAGAAGTACGTACAATTGTTGCGATTTTCACATTGAAATTCAGCTTCAGTGCATACCACAGCGCGCACCACGTATACGGACCTTATTATTCGAGCGATAGAATCGCATGTTCCCCCATAGGCATATTTATGGTTCCATATTTCTTGTTCGGTGATCCACTCAGTGACATTGCCTATACTCGTCTAAGTTTTTCTTCTCGCTTTTAGGCATCTAGATTGTATCCTTACCGCTTACTACCCCTCATTTGCTGGGAAGTTTTTAAGTGCCCCTTCGAGCCACAGCCATGATTCAATCAGCGATCCAACTTTCGAAGCCCCATCTCTTTTTCGGCTGCGCTTGTTTGCTTGTTGTTAGTTTTTGTAAACCGCAGAACTCGGAAGGGTTTCTGCGCGTCGTCCGGGTGACGTTTACCATAATCCTAAAATGGTTCCTAGTTGTCTCTCTATCACTTTAGTGCCGTTGGTTCTCTGTCGTATACGTCCGAGCCTTTGTCTTAGGAAGGATCGGGCCTCGCTGGTTGTAATGGTTCAGGCACGAGTAGGAGTATCAACTTTTTGGGCGCTCCTGCTTCATTTACAGGCCATGATTCGTAGATAAAATGAAGAAAAGTAGGGCAAGTTTTGTACGATGGGTAGGCTAAGGATTTGGTTGGTATGGTATAACTGTATTTTGAAAATAAATGTTAGGACGGTCTTTGAGATGTTGTAGAGTGGGCCTTTCTCAACGGACATGTCTTTAAAGCCTGGGTTCGTAGGACGACCTTAGTTTTTTTTTTCAGACTTCATCTTTGAAGCACTCCGTGCGCTGTGTCTTTGATTGTAAGGACTAAAGGCGTATTCTAACCGCAAGTATTCAAATCTCGTGTCCCTAATTTAATGCAAAGCAAAACGGAGAGAGACAATGCAAGTTGTTGAAAGGAACATTTATGAGTCGCTCTACAGGGTTGCGCCAAAACATCTTTCAACATCGGACAAAGAAATGCCATAGAAACCATAGATTGATTTGTTGCAGTTAATAAAAAATAGAAACGAAGCTTTCAAGTGTGAGTTTTTGAACGGTTATACTCTTTTCTACGCGAAAATCTCCACTCGACCTTAACTGAATTTTTTGTGCACTTTTCAAGTAGACAAAAACTCCAGGTAGGGTCGAGTGGTGATTTTTGCGCATGTCGTTAAGCCAAATTTAACAAAAGAATCCCCCTTCATTTGGTTGTGCGAATTGTTCGGTGGTCGATGTCTGACATTGCAAGAGCATTAAGTGATCGAAAAGAAAATGAAAGTCTTCGTGACATCGAGGACGTTTTCGTTTTCGAGCAAATCAATTGCGATTCAAAGTACATGTACCAATGGAAATTGCTCGAGTTAAATTGCTCTGCGTCACGTCAGACTCTTCTATCGTTCACCGCAAGGTTCTTGACGCATTGCCGCTCTCGACGTATCGTTAGGTAAATAGTGAAACGGTCGCGGGTGCTCGTCGCATACCAGGACAGTGGTTTTTTGACAAAATTGATGGAAATTGGATGAAATAGGGCAGGACACGCTTCAAATCCTGCTCAAACTCACAAGCAAATTCGGAGTGATTTCTTATTTTCACTGAATTGCAACAAGGGGCGGAGGTGGTGTAGTGGCATGTGGCGCACTATCACACAAACATGATCTCGGGTTCTAATCACAATCGGTATTAGCCAAAGCCAGCCAGGCATTCCCTTTCTCCAGGGCCGGTTAATTAGTAAAGACTCGTCGTGGACGATAAAAGCACTGGCTTGCACGTCGGTCAGCCAATAGACCACATATGCATTCATGGCGCCACTACGATTTTGAATGGAAGTCGAGTGCGTGGGCGCATCCCTCTTACGGGATCGATTGACACCCGAAGACTTTATCATTTATCCTTTTGATTTGTAACGAATGTTTTGCTTTTTCCTTTTTATCTTCTAACTTGAATAGAGCTATTTTGATTCAAAGTGTATGGTAATAATACTAAGTTGTAGTTTCCATACGTGTACTGATGTAAGACTGAGTTTTTTTTTATGAGGAGGCCTATTGCTAATTGCATGATGTCTTAGACGATAAATTTAATGCTCCAATTCTTTCCAATGTTTTTTATCGTGCCCTTTGATGACAAAATATGGCATCATGCTGAGGGCTATAATTTTCCGAGATATTACGTTCATGAACACTATATTTAGGTGGTGGAAGACGGATATGAGTTTTTCGCAAAGCGGCAATTGGTGACGCTCTTTTCGGCTCCCAATTACTGCGGAGAGTTCGATAATGCTGGTGGTATGATGAGCGTGGATGAGACGTTGATGTGCAGCTTCCAGGTTTGTCATTCAACGGATTGTTTTTTCTTGAGTCATATATTCTCATCCTTTTACCTGTTTGTTTTGTTTTGAAGTTTAAACTTCATGATCTCATGGGGATGTATTTAAATACCTTCATAAAATTAGTACAGTATTGGCACTGTTTGTGTTAGCTTTTTATATAATCATAAAGGGGATCGTTCATCGGCATAGGAGCTTCGGATTTATACCTATCCCTCTGCATTGTTGAGATTCTCAATTTCCGAATCCCGTATCCTCAATTCGGTGTGAATGCAGAACGAGTATCATAAGAGCGTCTCGGCGGCGATGAGAGCTGTTTAAGCGATCGCAGCGCGCGAATGAAAAAAATCGGAGGTTAACGAGCATGTTTGGCCAACGCGTACGTGTGCGGTCGACCGTTATTGTGCTGAGAGCGCGTTCTTGTCGCCTGACAAAGTGTCAATACAGTACTAGTCTTGGACTGACGCGAAAACGTTTTCGATTTCGCAGTAATATGCACCGTTTGCAGCGATGTGCGCTCTTTGGATTTCTCCAAACGGTGTTTGCCCATAAAATGTAGAAAGAGATTGCTCTCTGTGGGAATAACCTCCTTAGGTGGGCGTCCACAAAACGGTGGTGATACAGGAGTGACTACACGGCTTGGCTTGTTGTTGAAAAAGTTCTCGTCACATTGAACGCAGGGTTACCTACGATGTTTGCTCCTGGGATTTTTTCAAAAACTGGCGTAATCCTGGTAAAGGGTATAACTTCATGCGGAGGTGTTTTTCTAAGGAAGCCGCCTGCGTCGGCTGTACAAATAGCGCGTACAAACCCATTTTCGACTGCTGCACAAGTATTTCCGAGCGTTAAAAATGTTTGAGTTTATAGTCAACTTGAGCTGAGAAAATCGCTTTCCGTGAACAGTATCACATACTTGTAATTCTTAGGTGAAAAGAATAATTCCGTGGAACGGGCTGCGTATGAAGGCTTTATTTATTTAAAATTTTCAGGCCTTTCTGTAGAGTCCCTATGCTTCAATCAGGGTCCCATTAGGGCTGCTGGCTCTGTTCCTCTCTAGAGCCTTTGAACACGCAATGCGTTTCGAGTTGGAGACCATTTTATGGTTGTGATTAATGGCGTTATCTTTGAAGTTCGGAAAAGTTTCGGAATAGGCGTTCAAAAATGTTCTCTTTTACGTGCAGTTAGTTACACTTGTCAAAAATTATTCACCTGATTGCCCTAATAATTTATGAAACGTCCTATAACGACGGATGTTCGATCCAGAAAAATGCAATCGAAATCAAGGATCAAAAATGATGAATAGGGGGCCTTGGTCTTCAGAATTGCTCTATATGATGGCTCCTTCCATTCTGGTGGGCGATTGATGCAAGATTTCATTCCATGGCTTCCAGTGCTGCCATATTTGGTATATATGTAGCTCTGACTGCGCTATATGCCTTCTATTTTCCCTGCCTTTATGCCTTTTTAATAGGTTTAAAGTGTTTAGTCCAAGTCCCTTGGATTGATGTATTGATACAGGAAACGATGCTCACCACTGATCGTGTGTGCGTAATGTGTACCGATAGGCTTTTGAGTCTGCTTAGCTTTAGGTAGCGTGTTCTACACGTAATGTTTGATATACTGATTCCTTGCCAGTCTTTGGCTTCTTTAGTGACTGCGAAAGAAACGTTCACCGACGTTACGGCCCCCTTTGCTGTTGTTCAAGTGCTTCTGTTGACATCTGTGTTGGTAGCAGTCTGTGAAGCCTGAGTGGCCAACTCCAGATTGTAGCAATGATCATTTGAACGGAGCCAAGATCGCCGAGATAGTCCATCAAGAGCGAATCGCCGCTTTGAATGCGTCATAGGGAACTTTTTATTGTATTCGGAGCCATTTGGGAAGAGATGAGGAGGAGGGAATCGGCGCTCACATTTGAATTCCGCCTCGATTACCAAAACACTGCATAGATGGGGCAATGGCGTTCGGGGTATGGGCACGTCACCATTAACAATCGCCCGCGCGTAGACGTTTGAATAACGATTCCCGATTGCCTGTGTTTAAAAGTCGAGATAGGAGTCAGCTCAAATTCTGGTGTTTGATTGGGAGTTCCGTGTACTGGACCTTATCAGTGGGTCAAATTTGATTTGTGGGATGCGTCAATGATAGCGCAGCCTACAGTTCAGGCGATTGTAAAATTGTAATTCAAGAAAAGTAACGGAAAAACCATCAGGGACTATTCTGTGAGAGTCGTTCGATTTATAAATATTGAATCGTATTTCAGATTTTGAAGCCGTCCGAAAAGAAGGCGAAATACCAGTACGCTGGCCTGAACAGCGGACGGCCAGCAGTGGGTGGAGCGAGACCCGTGGGAAAGAAATAAAAGCAGCGATACCATTGCTTTCATTCCCCGCCAGTGCTCCTTGATGCTACGAGTCGATTCAGACTGTGTCACTCCTTTGTCTTTTAGAGGAATCACACCAGATTGGCTTTGAAAACCGTGATCATCTGTGGTGATCGCCCACGAGTCTGTTCTGTTCCTGTCAATCTCACTCCCTCTCCTTACATCCATCATCAGCACTTGTTCCCTTTAATCAGCTCTTCTTCTTTGTCGGTGGAGCGAACGCTCTTCACCCCGTTCGGCTGTTGCTGCTTTCTTTCTAATCATAATACCCTCTGGGGTAAATTATGATCACACACTAAGCGATCTATAGAAACGATTTGCTCGTACCACCTCTCCTCTTTTTCCTTCTCTTTCCCTCCTTTCATCTTTTACGAATCAGCCCATTCATTCATCATTCATGTCTCCATTTTTCATGCTCTCTATTGAAATAATCGCTATGTATCCATTGTGCCCCTGGAAGTTGCGCGTTGTATTTATTAAATGTTTACATTTTGATTCGTTTCCATTGTCGGAACGAACTTACACTTACCCACATCCCCACACTCAGCCATCCTCCATCCAGTTGGCGACTGCGATTACATACATTGTTCGCCTTTGTCGTGATTTATTTTGTTCGTTTGTAGTTTCGTATTTTGATGTGACGAGTTACAGTAAGTAATTCAAGGCGTTCTCACATGATCGCCGCCCTAGCCGTCGTCATTTGGATTTTGCCGTCCACCAGTTTGTTTGATTTTATTTTCTCCCATCATCGTTTATTTCTTCCTTTTGGTGTCGTGTAGTTGTGCTCGCAACCGAGTTAATACATTTTTTGAACGTCTGGTATTCAAAGAATAAATAATAGTTTATGATGTGAAATATCATCATAGTGATACCCATCTGTTGAGAAACTGGTAGGTCATCGACGTTTTTCATGAATCACATCGGTATTCGCATGTTTTATTGTGATCGNTTATTTCTTCCTTTTGGTGTCGTGTAGTTGTGCTCGCAACCGAGTTAATACATTTTTTGAACGTCTGGTATTCAAAGAATAAATAATAGTTTATGAATTGAAGTACCATCATAATTATACCCATCTGTTGATAAACTGGTAGGTCATCGACGTTTTTCATGAATCACATCGGTATTCGCATGTTTTATTGTGATCGCTATGATCGAATAAATCCACAAACGAGGTGTAGAAGTATTTCATTGGAATATAAAAAAGGGTAAAGTCTTTGGGCGTCATTCAGTACCGTCCGAGGGATGCGCCCCGCATTCGGCTTCCATTCAGGATCGTAGTGGCGTATTGAATGTGTATGTAGCTTATACAATGACCTGGGGTAGCCAGCTGATGTACAAGTTTGTGCTTCTATCCTCTCAGACGGGTCTTGTACAACTTAAACGAATCTGGAGGGATGGAAGGCCTGGTTGGCGTAGGCGGATATCGATCCGGAATTCGAACTCGTGACCAAGCGTGAGTGATAGTGCGCCACTAGCCACTGCACCATTTCCGCCCACAAGCATGTTATTGTAAAGCTATACAAAAAAAGTGGAAATGTATGTTGCAAATCGATCATGACGTTACCGATGATGGATTAGGGTTCGGTCATTGAGTCTGGCATGATTAACTGGCCTTATGTTAGGATTGAGTGTGAGGCAGCTATGGTAAATCGTTATGGAACTAGGGGTTCTAATAACAGCAATTTCCCACAGGTCAATCCTTCAATTGGGGGACCGGTATTAACAATCAAGCAGCTTTCCATTAAAGCAACGATTGTGCGCCATGAAGGTGATATCTATCGAGTGTTGGAGATATGCTCTGAACGATCAGGAGTAAAGCAATCACCAATACGGTAATAGCACATGCACAACTCTATGTTTCTGTAACTTTTCTGTGGATTCGAGGTTAAATTAGTGGGATCCCAATGATGGGGAAGGGAAGGTCTAAAGACGAGTACCATTGGATCTGTTGACCATTACAGGTGGTGCTTCTCTCCTTTACTGAAAAAAGCTGTGGATCTAGATCTATGTATATAAGGGATAAGAAGTATAAAATAAATAAGTCAGCAAACGTGAAATATTGTGAAATTTCCGGGATAACTAAGCCCAGAGTTTCCCCTTAACTCTTGGAAATCTGCAGTGGTGACCCCCGTGACCACTTTTTAATTTGCACACGGCGTTCGCAAATGCTCAATGATCAGTTAACTTGACTTTTTTGAATCATTAGAGAGTAGGACACTGGAAACTTCAACCGGGAACTTCAATTCGATCTCAGTTTAGCGAATGAATTTGTTCACGATGTCTGAAGCGCTTCCTTACGTTGATTGCTGAATTTTTTGGAAAACTACAGAGTAAAACTTCCCAAGAAGCTGCAGAACTTCTCAGATGTTGCAGAACTTCCCAAAAAGTTGCTTAAGTACAGGCAGAAAGTTCACTTTTGAGAGAGACTCGAACAGCCTTCCGCACACCATAGTCATCCATTACGCAACCTAAATAAAAAAGTTGTTTTCACGACTATTATCATTTGTCAATGGGGAATGTTTGACGTTGTGCGGAGCCGTCGAGAAAATATTGAGTACTCAGTGTAACCATTAATTATCCTACGGGTTGTAGATGTACAGGATTACCGGGAAAAGGGGCGTAGGTGGCAGGTGGCGTACACGATCACATACATGTTCCTGGGGGAAGACCTCGAACTGATACCCGCCCAGACCGACCGAGTTATCCATTGCGACACGGTTGGTACTGGACTCGTTTGGGAGAGTGACAGACCTAACTTGTACATCGGCTAGGCATCGCAGGTCATTGTATAGGCCCTATACGCCTTCAAAACGCTACTGCAATCCGAATGGAAGTCAAAGGCTGAGGCGCATACCAGAAACGTCATAAGGTTTTGTCATTTGTTCTTTCATTAGAAAATTGAAAAGATGAGATTCGCACTTACCAATGAATTCCGCCTCTACCGTCCTTGGTGGAACTCGCTGTAGATGAGTAACAAAACCGGACTCCGCCTCATAGTTTTGAATGTCTGCACTTCGGCATGACGTGTGGTGAAGTGTAGGAGGGGGCGGATTCGGCGGCGTTGACACATCCACGGTCGTCTGTGTCCGCTGCTGTGTCTGACAGCGTGAACGCACACGGCCATTACCGTCAAACAATATGAATAGCGTCAGGTCTCTTGAATTCGCCCATTTTTCGGGACATACTTTGACGTGTTCTCTGGCTCGTCTATTTCGCTCACAGCCTCTTTGTACCCTGCGTGCTACTTTTTTTGGCTCCTCAGAGTGTATGTTTTCCAGATTAACTTCAACTTGGGGCCTGGGGAACCGCCCATGGGTTGGTTTATTAAGGCTAAGAGTGTGTTTTGACATGTCAAAAACTTACAGAGCCCAGTAAGTGAGAAAGGGGCTTTTATGTCTTACTGTCAAGGGTTTACAGTAAAACACACAGATGAGGTCCAGCTTTTCTTTTCTTTCTCTTTTTCGCCATGGGTTCTCTACTTACGACTTCACGCTTTTTATTACTATCAGGGCCTGTGATCAGTTTTCCCAGCGAAAAAAAGTTGGAAATTGCCCAAAACCTTCTCCTGTTAATGCTTCTCTTTCGATTTTTTTTTTCGATTCCATTTTCTACCATTCTGACAGTTTTGCTGTGCCGTGAAATTTTTGAAGGGACCAAGGACCCTGCTTCCGTTTGTCTTAATGTCTTGATCTTGACGTTCAAGAACAAAAGGCTGTCTAAGTCATCTTCGTTACCCAATCGGGCTGTAAATGTTTGATTCCTAGATTAGATGAGCCAAGGCCAAGGTTTCTTTGCCCTTTCTCACAACAGGTTGTTAATAGAATGGTTGGAAGAATTTTTTCCTCATGGATCCATTTACCTTTAGTCGGTACTGGGTGGGACTGTTTCTATCTTTGTCCCAAAAGGTGGAGACGCCACCTTATGCATGGCGTATGCGCATACCTAAGGGTTTGAACCTGGTTCAATCCTCACAAATTACTTTTTTAGGACATGGCATACTAAAACTGTTGAACACAACTGTCTAGTACAAAAGTATCCAGGAGTTATGTGCAAGGCTTTTGAAAGCGATGGTGGCCAAGGACCGTTTGGAAGCATAAAAGAACTCGGTTGAACTGGATTTGCTGGAATGGCCAAACCCACAACAAGTAGACATTCTCTCAATGGTTTGGATCAAAAATGAACTGGCGGCTCCCCTCCTCACAAGCAACAAACCATAGGGCTGGCTTCCCCAATATTTTGCCATGAACGTTACGCCCTTGATGAAATTCCAACGCCTTTGTGGCTTCGCTAACTGACGTCCAACTGAATAATTTACTAGAATGATGGTTTTCGGCGTCATTTTATGATATTTGACGTAATCTTATAGAATTACTTGTTATTTGCAATGTTGCTGATGTTGGCATTGTGACGAACTGAATTGTAATGAGTTGGGTTAATGAAATGGAACTGTTTTTATGGAAAAAAATACCTTGCTGTCCATCAAAACCCAGGGAGACTTCAAAGACCACTCTGTGTCGGATGCAGGAAGGAAGGAAGACGTTTGTTGGCCGGGTAATTCACGATCTGAATAAATAAGCCTCACGTGCTCGTGCTTGACAGCGGGCGAGTTTATCAACGGCGTCATAGAATTTGCAATGAAAATGACGTATGAATAGGGCGATCATTCCCGATTCAAAAACACACATCATCCTATGGGATCTTTCCCACCTATCGAGGGGTTCCCATTTCACCGAAAATGACGATGGCACTGAGAAAGAACTCCTCCGACCCCGACGAGATCAAGCTTTAACTTTGGTTGCTGCCAACGCTCAAAACGACTTATGCCGTTGTAATGGTCCCAACCAGTTTGGACTGTAATGACGATAGTAACGGCCTTTCACTGCCAGTTACCCGTCAATTACCGTTTTTCCGCTGAAAGCCTCCTGTCAACCTAAGCCATGATTTCTTCACATTACCGTAAGCTGTCGCTTTGGGATCTA